TGATTGAAAGAATCAGAAATGGAGAGATGGAATTTCTGGACTTTACTGAAACCACATGGTGGAAATCTAGTGCCCTCTTCTGTTGACAGGGCCTAGATGTGCATATTTGCTGTTTTCTGGTTGAAACTGGGAAACAGTACCTTCTTGCTGAAGTTGGATAATTGTTGAATTCAGCCATTTTCAGGTTTCATAGAAAACAAAACAAAACAAAACAAAACGCCCCTTCTTTGTTTTATTTCACATTTTAATTTGAATTAAACTTGAATTGAACTCAGGACCTTTGGAAGAATAGTCAGTGCTCTTAACCTCTGAGCCATCTCTACAGCCCCTGAAAATATAATTTTAAAAGAAAAAGTAAAATTAAAATGAATGGCCTGGAATTAACAAAGACAAAAAAGGGGAAAAAAACCCCGTGCATTTTCTTGCTTGCTTGCTTTTTTTTTTTCTCTTCTTTTAGTATTTTTAGAGGCATGGTTTCTCTGTGTAACAGCCCTAGCTGTCCTGGAACTCAGTTTATAGACCAGGCTGTCTTGTTGGTAACGTTCTCTTTTTATTCTTATTTCCTATCTGTAAATCCACATTTCTTCTCTCTCTCTCTCTCTCTCTCTCTCTCTCTCTCTCTCTCTTTCTCTCTCTCTCTTCTCTCTCTCTCTCTCTCTCTCTCTCTTTCTCTCTCTTTCTCTCTCTCTCTCTGTCTCTCTCTCTCTCTCGCTTTCTCTCTCGCTTTCTCTCTCTCTCTCTCTCAATTTATTTATTTCTTGTTTGGTTTTGTGTTTTGCTTTATGAGACAGGGTTTCTCTGCTGATTTGGAGACTGTTCTTGGAACTAGCTCCTTTCTTGTAGACCAGGCTGGCCTAAAACTCCCAGAGATCCTGCCTCTGCCAGATATGGAGCCAGTGCTCTTGAATGCCTTCATCTGGTGAGGTCAAAATATACCCCCCCCCCACACCAAACACAAACACAGGCACAGGCACACCCAGAGACACATAAATAAACTTTTAAATTAAGAGCCTGGAGAGCTAGTTTCTTGGCTCTTCCTGAGAAATTGGGTTCAATTCCCAGCACCTGCATGGTTAAATAAATCATAAAAAAAAATTCTTTAAGAAATTGAAATTAGGGGCTGGAGAAATGGCTCAGCGGTTGAGAGCACTGATTGCTCTTTCAGAGGACCCGGGTTCAGTTCCCAGCACCCACATGGCAGTACACAACTGTCTGAAAATCCAGTTCCAGGGGATATGACACCTTCACACCAATGCACATAAAATAAAGATAAATAAATCATAAAAAAAGAAATTGAAATTAAACTACACAACTGGAAACACTGTCTCAACTATTTTTTTCATTTATTTATTTATTTATTTATTTATTTAAGATTTCTGTCTCTTTCCCGCCACCGCTTCCCATTTCCCTCCCCCTCCCCCAATCAAGTCCCCCTCCCTCGTCAGCCCAAAGAGCAATCAGGGTTCCCTGTCCTGTGGGAAGTCCAAGGACCACCTACCTCCATCCAGGTCTAGTAAGGTGAGCATCCAAACTGCCTAGGCTCCCACAAAGCCAGTACGTGCAGTGGGATCAAAAACCCATTGCCATTGATCTAGACAGATTTTTTTACAAACACTAAGAAATATTGGAAAACAGCTCTTACTGCTATAACCAGCAAAACTTTCAATCAGCATAGATGGAGAAAACTTCTACATTCCATGACAAAACCAGATTTAAACAGTATCTATCCACAAATCCAGAACTAAAGAAAGTAAGAGACAGAAAACTCTAATACAGGAGGTGAGCTGTACCCACAAAAACACAGGCAATAGATAATAATCACTCCATAAAATCCCAAAGAAGAAAAATACACACATATACACTACCACCACTAACAACAAAACCAAGCAAAATATCAGGAATTAACAATCACTGCTCACTAACATCCCTTGCTATGAATGGATTCAATCTGCCTATAAAAAGACACAGGCTAATGGAATGGATACAAAAATAGGATCCATACTTCTGCTGCATACATCATGTTTCCTCTGTCTTTCCTGTTCCCAGAATTCTCCTAGTCTGTATGCTCTGCCTATACTTCCTGCCCAGCTACTGGTCAATCAGCATTTTATTAAACCAATACAAGTGACAAATCTTTAAAGTGTACAAGAGAATCCCACAACAACTACTCTTTCAACTGACATATGTTTGATTCTCAAAACCCATATGTCAGTTCACAACTTCGTTTAACTTCACTTCCGGGGACTATAATACCTATTCTGACTTCCACAGAATCTTTCACATATGTGATACACATAAACTCATGTAAGCACACACCCATTCACATAAAAAAATATATATATATATATATGTATATATACATATATATTTCTTATATAAATGTGCATATATGAGTGATAACTGTTCTTCTTGGCAAATTATGTGGTATAATAAAAAACTATTGCTATTAAAATAGGTGCTTTTATACTAAATTTTAATGATACTCAAACTTTTCATTTCACTCTTCATTTTGAATTCAAGTGTGGTACTGTTTTTGCAGAAATTTTTCTGATACTTTTATTTGCATAAAATTTTTATCACTATGTACACTTTCATTGAGTATTTACTGAATGTGATTTTCCTTTTCTAGAGATGAGTTTTTCCCATGTAGCTCTAGTTGTCCTCCAACTCTGTCTCCTGAGCACTGGAATTAAAGATGTGCCCCCACCACATCCAGTTTTAATTGTGATTTTAACACATTCAATTCAGAAACTTTGAATTTCATGGAAACATTGTAAATTGTTGAGCAAGTTACAGAACAGTGGACATTAAATAGCAAGCACTTGGTTCACATAAGTGTCAAAGTAATCCTGCAGTACAAATCTTTTTGAGAAACTGTCTAAGCCCATTGTGTGAGTGAAGCATCTTTGGATTGAGGTTCTCAGTTTCAATGGATAAATATTCTAGCCTGGAAAATGGAGGCACTCTGGGTAGGTCTGAGATGTTTTCAAAGTCAAGAAGTCCATCAATGTTAGGATAAAAAGAATAATTACAAATGAACAGATGTGTTCTGGAATTGTCCACTGTCAGCTCCTCCATCTTTTATTCCAGAAAGTCTTCTTTTACTCCTTTTAATTGTCATGACCTGGTTAAACAATGATAGTTGCACCCTAAAAATGCTATATAAAGAAAGAGTTTGTCTTTGGATATGTCTTGTTACATTGTATTTACTGATTTTGTGTGCATGAGTGTACCTGTGTGCATTACCTGATGACAAAAATATGAAATGCATTCAATAAACACTGTACTGTGCCTCCAATTATACACTTCTTTTTTGTTAACCAGTGACTTTGAAAATTTAAATATCCAAACGCCTCTGTACTGATCATTATAACAGGGTTTGGCTTTCTGTTACAATGAAAGTTTTGTGAAAGTCAGTTGCCAAAAATACAAATCAAGTTTAAAGATTGGGATTAGATAGGTGATAGGATAGAAAAATGAGATATTGATTAATGATAAAATTAGTAACAATTCTCTAAATTGCAGATAAAAAAGACTGTCTCAGAAATAAAAGTAATAATAAAAAAGCCATGGAACTCAAACTATGCCTTGTTTAGGGTTCATTAGAAGTTTTATTTCATAAAAATGTGATTCATGATAGCAAATAACAGTTTTAGCTAAATTCTCATAAAACGCTTCAAAGATCATTTGGTAAAAAGAGTAAAGAATTGAAAGTTCAGTTTTGCTGAAGTTTCTGTGATTAGTCTCAGGAGAAAATACATACCTAACTAACTATATTTGAATAATGCAGATGAGGGAAGGCAGATTCTGATGTGTACAAATCCCAATTGTCATTCATTAAACATAAGCAAACTAATGAGATATATATTCCTGACACTGGTAAAAGGTAGGAATACTGTCTCATCTCAGGTGGGGAGAATGAATCCACATTCTAGAAAATAGGGGAAAAAAAGAAAAAAATATTTTATTTGGAAAAGTGAATTGGTGAATTTGTAAATGATTTATTTATGTCTAACTACTCTGTTAAACATACAAAGTTACCAAATAGTTATTTCTTTTCATTTTTATTTAGAAAATAATAGATTTGAAACATTAAAATATGTATCTTTAAACTTATATGGACCATATATCAGCAGATTTAATTCTAGAAACAGTAACATCTAACGAACTACATTTTAATTTTAACAGATAGTACATAGGGGGATAGGCAGCAAGGGATAGAGACAGACATATACACTAATAGCTACCGTAAATAAAAGACAAACAAGCCTATACTGCTTTGAAAAAACTACTGTTTCATGCTTTAGCTAAATGAAATCATTAAAAAGCCAACAATTTAAAACATATCTATTGTGAATTTTGGCTTCTATTTCATTCTTATGAATTATTTGGCTGTTTTAATTATTAATTGTTATTTGTTATTAATTGTTAATTAATTGTTATTAATTACTATTTGGCTCTTTAGAAAATTTATACTTGCAGTCACTCAAGACTTTAGTAGTTTGACAAACCAGCAAATAATGACAGAGGTAAAAGTTAAACCAATCATGCTCTTTATTTTAGCAAAAACTATATGCCAAAAACTGGTGGCACAGTCCTATTTATTTAGTAACTGTCTTTCAGTAAATTGTTGGTTATTCAAATGATTATGTTTGTTTAATATGTAATAATTACAATTTTGTATCTAAAGATATGGTCAGTAAGCCTTCTGTCTTTCATCATTTTGGTTATAAAATCATTTTTAATTCATTTAAATGCATGAGTGATTGAGACACAGTACAGTCAGATATCTTGTGAATTTCATAAGCATTTAATTTTCATCTTTTCAACTTGCTGAAATAAAATTTTATTTTTAAATACCAAAGACACCTTAAAACTACTTTCTACCTGCACTGTTTTTGGATGTATATAATTAAAAAAATGTCTTTTGTCTTAGAAATGATATATTGATATATGTCCAGATAAAGTAATCTAATAAATTTTTCTCTTGACCTTTACAATAGGATAGAAAAAGAACAAAAATAATGGACAAGGGAAACTGCTCCTCATTACCTGAATTTCTCCTCTTGGGAATTACAACTAACCCTGACATGAAAGTGGTAATATTTACTACGTTTCTAACGGTTTATCTTGTTATTCTTCTGACCAATATTGGAATGATCATTTTGATCAGAATGGATTCCCAGCTCCAAACACCAATGTACTTTTTTCTCAGCCACCTCTCTTTCTCTGATCTCTGCTATTCTTCCGCAGTCGGGCCCAAGATGTTGATGGACATTTTTGCCAAGAACAAAATCATTCCTTTTGTTGGTTGTGCCTTGCAATTCTTTTTTGTCTGTATCTTTATAGATGTTGAGTGTGTGTTGCTGGCAGTGATGGCCTTTGATCGCTACAAGGCCATCAGCAATCCCTTGATGTATGCTGTAGAGATGTCTAGTAGGGTTTGCTACCAATTCCTATTTGGAGTTTACCTTGTAGGAATGACAGATGCTTTGATACATACAACATTAACATTTCGCTTATGTTTTTGTGGATCAAATGAGATTAATCATTTCTTCTGTGATATACCTCCTATCCTATTAATATCTTGCTCTGATACACAGATCAATGAATTAGTGATATTCACCATTTTTGGATTTATTGAGCTGAGTACCATCTCAGGAGTCCTTGTCTCCTACTGTTATATCATCTTATCTGTCTTGAAGATCCGTTCTGCTGAGGGAAGGTTCAAGGCTTTTTCCACCTGCACCTCTCACCTGACTGCCGTTGCAATTTTTCAGGGAACACTACTCTTTACATATTTCCAGCCAAGTTCTTCTTATTCTCTAGATCAAGACAAATTGACTTCTCTGTTTTACACTCTGGTGATTCCCATGCTGAACCCTCTGATTTACAGCCTGAGAAACAAGGATGTGAATGAGGCCTTGCAAAAACTGAGAAACAAAAGGTGTTTAAAATAATTACATTATGTGTATATGTCCACATAATAGTGGTAATTTGTATAAAATGATATTGCTTTATTCATAACAAAGTTGTATAACCTATTTTAAGAGATTAGCATAAGAATTTCCCACAAGTTTATTGATAAGGTAAAATTGTAGCTATACCAACGTTTCATATCTCATTATTTGCTATGGGTCATACATGATTTACATGTGCAGAATTTCTCATGATTGTTTCAGTAACAAAGGAATTGTATTTATCCTTCCATTCAGTTTTAGTTGTATTAAGTTATCTTGAGTTTTATGGATTACTATTTTGCATATTTTACTGCCTCATATTGAATCACAAAGGAATTTCTAGGTTGTTAAAGATGTATATTATATCCAAATGAAAGTCATAGACTTTAACTATACCCTTGGTACAATCATAATTTTTAGGAAAGAGTAAAATTTAATTTTATTCTGAAATGAAAAGGATTTTGGCGAAAATATTTATACCCAACATACAGGCTGAAGAATTTATATATTTGTGCCTATTACTGGGCTCATTTGTTTTGTATTTAGTTCTTTTGTTGTATTTTGATTTGTTTGTTTTTCATTTATATGATTATATTATTTTATTATTATTCCTTAGATGCCTGTTTTTTTTTTCTAATGCAAGAAAGGAAGGATGTGGGTCTGAATTAGAGAAGAAGTGGGGAGGAAGTGGGGGAATTGGGGGAGAACAATAACCAGAATATTTTGTATGAAATATTTTATTTAAAAGAAAAAACATTTTTTAAAAAAACCAGATAATCATGAGTCATAGGCCTAATAAAATACATCTTAAACCAGTCCAGATAAGTTGGAAATTGAATAAATTTAACTAGAATAATTATGAAGAAGAGAGAAAAGAGGTGTGGTTAGTCACATATGTGCAGGTGATGTCTGTCACCTAATGTTTGACTTATTCCAACATTGCTCCTTTCCTTCTATAACATTCTTAGCCTTTCATAATGGTGAAAAATATTTTCTTGTACCCATTCTCATCTCTTCTTAAATGCTACTCTTCTAAAAATAATCTTATCATCATATGAGTGTATAAAAATTTCTTCTGAAAGACTGGATATTGCGTCTCTGTAATATCAATAATTTATATTTCATTTGTAGATAAAATAGGGAAAAAACAAATTAAAATAACAGAAAACATGATATTTAAAGTAGGCATTAGACCTTGGTAATGAGACATTAAGTGTTTTACACAAACACACACACACACACACACACACACACACACACACACTCACTCACATGGGATACCATGCACCCATCTCCTTCCAGGCTTTAATAGATAAAAAGAATTCAAGATACTAGTGCGGTCGAGGTGATTGTTATCTTCCTGAAGAAGGAAGAATATAGACACATATATTTTGTTGAACTATTTCTTTATTGTTTATTCTTTTATAATATTTTTTGGTGCTTAAAGCACTGAATGAGTTCATTGAAAGCACGAGGATAGCATCTATACATTTGAGTGAACATAAAGAATAAGTATAAATTGTTCATTATTCCCTTTAATTATAGATATGAAAGCAACTGGTGTACCTATGTAAGACTATTTCAGAATTTAATGAAATCTAAATACTGCTTTTCTTTCTCAATTGACCTCTGGTAAAAATGGTAATTTATGAGTATATATCATATGTAAAAATATATGATGAACTTTGATTGAGAGAAAATGATTTAGGGATTCCAGTAGTATCACATATTTTATCACCCTGTATTAAACTTGTGACTTACGAGCAATATTGTGGATTGTTTTCTTTATATTTAGTTTTCAATCCCTAAAGCAATAGTGATAGATTGTAAGTACTTTTGGAGAAGATAAATTCATAAGCCCAGAGCATTCAAGAATGAACTTGTATACTTATGAAAAAGAACTGGAGAACGTTCTAGACCATTATTTTAATGGAAGTGAGTAAATTTAGATTGTAAATATTGTCAATGAAATGAAAGTTAATTCCCCCTACCAGAAATTAAATCTGCCATGATGTGCTGCAACAACCAGAGAACTCATTGGTTTTGATAACTGACACCATATTCCATATTAGGTACTTCTAAATGTCTGGTACTCTATTAGTAGTAATGATTTAAGTAATAGAAACATGTCTGAATGATTATAAAACTCACCTCTAAATTTTTATTTCTATACCTAATATTAGGTGTAGCACTTAGTACTTATTACACACACATACATGCACACACACATACAAATATAAGGCATGTAGATAATGGAAAACACACAACTAACTGAAGTATTAAAAACCCTAACATCCTAGAAACAAAACTTAACAGATATACTAGGGAGAAGTGGAATACATAACTGTGAGAGAAATGTACACACAAATAGTGTCAAGAATTAGGCTAAAATATCTGATACTGTCTGTGACACTGTGAAGCTATCAGCCTTTAGACTAGATAGTCCAGGGGCCTAGGGTGAAACCAAATACTTTTGTTCTGCTAAAGAAACATAGCAATAAAATGACTCTTAATCACACACACACACACACACACACACACACACACACACACACATATATATATATATATATATATATATATATATATATATATAGAGAGAGAGAGAGAGAGAGAGAGAGAGAGAGAGAGAGGGATCAGTGCCTCCCTCAGCCATCATCAGAGAAGTTTCCTCTAAGAGTAGATGGAAACTAACACAGATACACACAATTGGACAAGGTTTAGAGACTGGGAGATTTTAGAAAACTCTGTCCTAAACAAGAAGTCTTTATCAAATTTCTCCCCTTAGGAGCTCGAGAGCCTCTGCAGGATGGGTGCCTCAAAGGAAACAGTGTCTTTTAGACACAAAATGACTGATACACATCTGAACTCACAGAAAATGTGGCATCAGGCACAGGTTCAAACCAGATGATGTTCAAACTCTGACAGGAGGAAATATACATGGGCTTCCGCCCTTCACCAAGAATCTGTGTGCAATTGAAACTTGCTTGCAAAAAAGAAAATAGCTTTCTCCAATAGAGTCTCACTGGTTATATTAAATCCTCTTAAGAGTTGACCCTATTCCCAGCAGTAGATGGACAAAACAAAATTAATTCAATGATATTATTGGAGATCTTTTGTTACATACTACTTTGTTTGATCTTTCTTGTTGGGGAGGGTCTTGTTGCTCTTTCACTTTTATATTATTTTTTTTCATATGGTTTTTGCTTGTATTTGTGTGTTTCTTTGGTTTTTAAAGAATCTGTTATTTTAACTTTTTGCTTGTTTGTATTCTAATGAGAAAAAGAAGGAAAGAACATAGAATTGCATGGCTGAAGAGGTGGGAAGGACCTCGAAGGATTTCTGGGAGAGGAAATCCTGATAAAATATTATATGAAAAGAATATACAATGAAAATCAAATAAAGTAAAGAGTCTATAAGGTTGTTAATTTTTCAAAATTGAATTTTGGGGAAGTAGTCTAAGAAATGGACAAGTTGTGATAAATAATAAAGAATATGGAAATTGCTAATAAAAGGTCAATTTTAGTTTTATTATGTGTCTCATTCTACTAAAAATTCTGGTCAACATAAATTATCAAATTGATTGACGCATGAGGAGTTGAAATAACAGCCATAGGGATGGTTGTCTCAGGATGCCCAGGAAAAAAAAATCTCCTGAGCCCAGACACTAATTAGTCATGTTAGGTTTATATGATGATGGGAAGAAAGAACCTCAAGAGAATTTAATTGCAATAGTATTATTATTATTATTCTTTTTGAAGTTCCCAGGTACAGCTTGGGGGGGTCTTTGGAAGAGTGAGTGAATCCTTAACCCCCATGAGTACTAATTCACCAGCTTCTTTTTTTTTAATTAATTTATTTATTTATTATGTATACAATATTCTGTCTGTGTGTATGTCTGCAGGCCAGAAGAGGGCACCAGACCTCATTACAGATGGTTGTGAGCCACCATGTGGTTGCTGGGAATTGAACTCAGGACCTTTGGAAGAGCAGGCAATGCTCTTAACCACTGAGCCATCTCTCCAGCCCCCTGCAATAGTATTATTGAAAATAAATGTGATCAACCTGGTCCATCTGCACTAGAGAAATGACAGCAAGACTGCCTTATTTCAGGTACACTTATGGCTTAAGACAGAATAAAAATAAAATTTTGCTTTTATTGAACATATGAAGAAGTCAGTTGAGGAATGAAAAACACATAGATTATTCTGATTCTGTAGTGTCATAAAATCTGTATCCTAATAATCAGGGACATGTTCTAGTGAGTGTTTAGTATATTCTGCTACTTTTATTTGACTTACATAGAATTTGAAAAGTTGGAAAGATTGGTTTTTCCAGTGAAAGGGAGTAGCTGGTCATGTTTAAATATTAATCAAATAAGTAGAATTGTAACACAATTCCACATTAATTTGCTTTTATGACTCCCTGAAAAGTTGATTTTGTTTTATAACTAACTTGTAACAAATAGAATAGTGAATGCAGCAAATATAATGACAATGATGCTTTTGATTAAGTGACGAGATGTTCTGTATGGCTTTATTGGTCATTAAATATTCTATTATATTAAATCTGTATAATATCCTATTTATTTCAAATACATTGCCTAAAAATGAGTGTCAGATTTCTAGGCAAGTCAGAAAGAAAATGAAATATATGTATATATTTCAAAGAATGTTGATTATGTACCTAATTTAGTGGTTTTTTTTGTTAATGAAAATGCTGCTATGTACTGAGCCAGTTTTCTTAGTGTACATCATACACAAATATCTCAACATATCATTCCATTTAGCAATTATATTACATTTTCCTGAGTTTATTATACAATACCATATTGAGAAATAAAAAGTCTAATATATCATGACACTGAAAATTTCTGTAATCATTTAGACCGCGAAAAATGAAGAATGGAAATGGAAAACTGCTCTTTATTATCTGACTTTTTCCTCCTGGGAATTTCCAGTAACCCTGACATGAAAGGGGTTTTATTTCTTGTGTTTCTT